TATAGAGCTAGAATTGTATCTTCCCTTTGCTCCAAGTACATCGGCCCAACGCATCCGATGGAGAGATGCTCCTTCAACATTCCCAGGAGACAGAAAAGACTGTTGGAGCGGATAAAGGTGAAAGGTGAATACTGCTTTGATCCACTCCGCAGTATACGACGACGACTTGATAAGAAAGTGGTCCCATCCGCCACTTGCCATATTGCTGCTTTTGCCGGCATCGCATCCATCGGAGAATGCAGGCATGAAAGGGCCGGTGCTAGAGTAGCTAGGGTATATATAGCAAGTCGTTAAGAATTTTTAAGACGATATCGCAGAGAGATATACCTGGTTATGGCCATATGGACCAAACGCGTGGAAGAACACCTGACCGTGGGCAAACAACTGGGTAGGCCACAACAAAGGTAGAGACTGTGACTGAAACGATGGTAAAGTATAGGTGTTTTGATATAAGAACAAAACATTGGCCAAGTGGAGAGATATGAGTGAATAGCGAGCATATGAATTACAACGAATATTCATGTATAGATTTTTCAACGTTTGTGAAATGTGAGTGTTGAGTTGTACATCACTTCTCTTTGGTTTCTCGTTTGAACATTGTGTTTTATTATTTGGCGATGGCTCCGCGGATATCGAGGTACAATCACAGACGGCAATACAATCCACGTTGTCCGCCTGCCAACTATGCGCAGTCGGACGAATGAATGGACAACACCTTGAGAATGAAGCCGTTTATGGCAGGCTAGCACTGGCAGGCCTCTGATAGCCCGATTATGAGGATCCCCGCAAAACCACCCTCCTGCCGCTAGTCCTCTGTTCGGGTACACTTATACGCGAGTCGGCGTTTTGGGGCACGACGATAGAGGTCACATGGTCACGCAATTGATCTCCTCAGCGTCACCATCTTAAACCCCGAATTCAGTCCATAAGGAACAGATCCGGACGTCGTATTCTGCACCTCTCCAAACCACAGAACTGGGCTGGTCAATTCGAACGTCTACGACGACAATGGCAGACAACTATTACGACCTGGGCGACTACGCATTGCCCGTGAGCACCACCTCGGCCGATGCACAGCTGTGGTTCAACCGCGGCCTGCGCTGGGCCTTTGCGTTCAACCACGAAGAGGCTGTGCGCTGCTTCCGCAAGGCCACCGACCACGACCCGCGCTGTGTCATGGCCTACTGGGGCATTGCATATGCGCGCGGGCCCAACTACAATAAGGCGTGGGTGCGGTTCGACCGATCCGATCTGCAGCGCGCATTTGCGGAGGCCATCGAGGCACTGGCGCATGCCGTCGCGCTCCAAGAGCAAGGGGCCCCCAGCACGCCCCGTGAGAAGGCCGTGGTCGAGGCGCTTCGGCAGCGGTTCCCAGACGACCCGGCAGCCCCGGCCTCGTTCACGCCGGAAACGCTGGGGCAGCTTGACGAACGATATGTCGTGGCCATGCGTAACGTGTACAAGGCGTTCCCAGACGACCTCGAGGTGGCCGGGCTGTTGACGGAGGCGCTCATGTGCGTCAGCCCGCGGCGCCTGTGGGATCTGAGCACGGGTGAGCCGCTGTACCACACGACGGAAGCGCGGGCCGTGCTGGAACCGGCACTGGCTAAAGCACCGGCGCATCCCATGTTTTGCCATTTGTACATTCACCTGATGGAGATGTCGCCGTTTCCTGAAATTGCGCTGCCAGCGGCCAATACGCTGCGCACGCTGATGCCGCAGGGCTCGCACATGCTGCACATGCCGACGCACATTGACGCCGCCGTCGGCGACTACCAAAACGTCGTCGACTCGAACCACCGGGCCATGGTGGCGGACGACGCCTACTTTGCGCAGCAGTCGGCCACGTCATCGTCGTCGTCGCCGCCGCCCGTCCTGTACCACCTGTATCGCATCCACAACGTCTATGTCAAGTGCTACGGCGCCATCATCTCGGGCCAGTCCCAGGCCGCCATCGACGCCGCCACAACCATCCAGACGCTCATCACCCCGGCGCTGCTGAGCATCAAGAGCCCGCCCATGGCCGACTGGGTCGAGAGCATTGCGGGTGCCATGGCGCACGCGCTGATCCGGTTTGGCCGCTGGGAGGCGGTCTTGCAGTGGCCGCTGCCGGCCGACCAGGACCTGTTTGCATCGACGACGGCCATGGTCTACTACGCACGGGGCATTGCTTATGCCGTCACGGGCCGCATCGCGGAGGCAGAGGAGGCCCAGACGAAATTCGAGGCGGCCCGGCTGCGGGTCCCGCCCACGCGGCTCAACGCCCTCCCCGTACTGGAAAAGGACGTGCTGCTCGTGGCACAGGCCATGTTGGCGGGCGAGCTCGCCTACCGCAAGGGCCGTGTCGAAGATGCGTTTCAGCACCTGCGCGCGGCGGTCGCGGCCGAGGACCAGCTCCCGTACAGCGACCCGCCGTCCTGGATGCAGCCGGCGCGGCACGCCCTCGGCGCGCTGCTGCTCGAGCAGGGCCGCACCGACGAGGCCGAGCAGGTCTACCGGGACGACCTGGGGTTCGGCAACCTGCCGCGCCGCAAGGCCCGCATCAACAACGTCTGGGCCCTGCACGGCCTCTGCGAGTGCCTGGAAAAGAACGGCAAGACGGAGCAGCTTGCCATGCTGCGCATCCAGCGGGACACGGCCCTGGCACTGGCCGACATTCCGCTGCACGCGTCATGCTATTGCCGGCTGACGGCATTTCCCGAGGGCGAGCACGCGGGGGCAGCGAAGCACTGCTGCTGATACATATCTAACGAACCAAGTCTAATCATTGTACTCTAAGCTGTAGCTGACATGCACCAACTATGAACTATAAAATGGTTTTCTGTGCTACAACGCGGCATCCGATGCCGCCTATGCGGTGGTATGCCTCGGCCTCTGTCTTCACCACATAGACATGGTGGGAGCCCACGTCCATGTGCGAGGCCATTTGAAGCACCCCAGCGGGGTCGACAATGATGATGTTGGTCGTGCTGGCCAGCCGGCGAATGTTTTCGTGGATGAGCCGCCGGGCGACGTCGTTGAGAGAGTAGGTGTTGCGAAAGGAAAAAAGCGCGGCACAGATGTGCGCATGCGCGCTTCCGTCGCCGTGGCTGTGGCCTTGGCCTGGGTCGTCGCTGTCCTCGCGGGACTGCGCAATCTCCTTGAGAATGGCCCGCGTCAGCCGCTCGGCGCCCGCGAAACGCACGGCGCCGCGCAGCTCAAACACGGCCACCTGCTGCTGGCCGCCCGCGTGCGGCTGGTTGGCGCCGCCGGCCACCGTCGTCGTCCACGAGCGCACGCTGGCCCGGCCGATCTGGCTCATGTCCATCATGTGGAAGCCCATGTCGTGCGACAGCTGCTTGCACATGGCCACGCCGCGCACGCTGTTGCCCCGCTCGTCCAGGCGCGGCGAGAAGACGGCCAGGCCCAGCTGGCCGGGGAGCGCACCAATGATGCCGCCCGAGACGCCGCTCTTGGCCGGGATGCCGACGTTGGAGAGCCAGTCGCCCGACGAGTTGTACATGCCGCACGTGGTCATGACCGACAGCACCTGGCGCACGCTGTCCTGCGGCATGATGCGCTCGCCCGTCAGCGGATGCACGCCGGCGTTGGCCAGCGTGCCCGCCATCATGGCCAGGTCGCGCACATTGACGTTGATGGAGCACTGGCGGATGTAGCCCCGGACGGCGTCCTGCGGATCGCAGCCAATCATGCCGGCCGCCTTGAGCATGTAGCCGATGCCCATGTTGCGGTTGGCGTCCTTGAGCTCCGCCTCGTACACGGCCTCGTCGACGTGCAGCGGGCGGCCCGCCAGCTTCGAGAGCGCCTGCACGATGCGGTCCACGCGCTGCTCGACGGTTGCGTCGGCCGCGACCACTAGCGCGTGCGTCGCCACCGCCCCGGCGTTGATCATGGGGTTCATAGGCCGGTTCGTGCCGGCCTCCAGCGACAGCCGATTGAACGCATCGCCCGAGGGCTCCACCCCGACCTTGTCCAGCACGGCGTCTAGGCCCTGGTCCTGGATGGCGAGCGCGTACACAAAGGGCTTGGAGATGGACTGGATGGAGAACTCGACGGCGTCGTCGCCCACCGAGTACACGCTGCCGTCCACCGTCGCAAGTGCCACGGCCGACCGCGACGTGTCGGCTGTGGCGAGCACATCGATGTAGCTGGCCGGCTCGCCCGAGTCGAGCGGGCCGACATTCTCCAGCAAGCGCGCCAGGTAGTCGGGGATGGGAGACTTCATTTCTGATCGTGTCCGTATGGCGGCTGAGGAAAGAAAGAAACGAACGAAAACAGTAGAACAGAGCCAAATAAGAGAAACAGCAACGCCGCTTGAATGGTTCCCGGACGGGCACGGATGAGAGCTGTCTTCTCGAAGCCAACCTGTGGTGTAGTAAATCTGGCAGCTGAGTAATTTTATTGGCCAGCAACATGTCGGGTTGGGCTTAGCGCCATTGGTCTGTAGGCCTTGGCAAGGCAGTAGAGAGTACAATACAAGTTACTACGAAGCTGTGGCCAACGACAACGGCATCTCGAAGCAGGTAAAAGGAAACTAACAAGGATATAGGCGAACTGTTTTATCATCATCTGGAAGATTTGGAAAGGTGGTCAACAGCCATGAGACCAGGGCCCGTAAAATAGGCCACAAGAATAGTTTGCTGCTAACAAGGAGAGCAATATGGAAATGTTGACAGTAGTTGTCAAGTTTTATATTATTTGCTTACAAGTAAACAAACCACAGAATAACATTAGTCTTGTCAACTGTCTAGAACGAGCTCATCTTATTCGTTAAGCCATGTGGTTGACAAGTGGTCTTTCGCACGTGATCGTCAGTCCAAAGTTACACAGCCTTGTGTCGCTCCTCATAACCGTGCTTTCCATTTTTCAAGATAACCTTAGCTAATCGTCGAGAAATAAAACGCCGTGTAAAAATTTTTTCGACACCGTCCAGCAACCATTTCTGTTTTAACAACGCTTTGTTTATCTCATACCAACCTCGACGGACTCGCTTGTCAACAATGCCTGCAACTCACCCATCGCGCATGCTTCAGAGCGCAGCCACGGGAGTCAAACGGAAACAACTTCCATCTCCCGGCATGTCCACCCACCGTCCTAACACTCGCTCGGCAACCGGATCCAACTCCATGTCCACAACCCTTGTGCCGAGCACGGCAAACGCTGCCGATGTTGCGTTTATCGAAAACGCTAGCGCTTTTCCTGTTGCCGACTCTGTCTTTACAACAGCAGCAGACATCCTCTCCCGCGCATATGCTGCTACTGGTGATGGATTTATTGTTGCACCCGTGTCTTTTGCCGAGTATTGTTCTGTTGCCGATGAGCGCGACCGGCGCGGCAGCAAGGCACGTCTGTTTTACCTCCATGACTCTCGGTTGCTGATTGTCACGGTGCCAACAAATCATCACGAGATGCTACACGGCCAACTATACCACATATTCACCGGAAAGCTTTGGGAGATTGGCTTGGGTGATGACTGGGCCGTGACCCACGCGACGACCTTCAAATCTGCTCTGGGAAATACGTCGGCTGGCGAAGGCGACTCTGGTGGTCGGCCCATATCAGCACGACCTAGTTGTGCCGCATGGCCTGTCTTGGTAATTGAGGCAGGTTGGACGCAGAGCCTCGCCAGTCTCCGCTGCAGAAAAGCCTTTTGGTTCCGTCAATCCGACCACCAGGTCAAGATCGTCCTTTTGGTGAAAGGCTTCCCGCTCGGCGGCAACAGAGACGGAGGTCCTGAAAAGAGGATTTTGATAGAACACTGGCAGGAGCCGTACCGGCTGCACCGTCTCGGTGCCACTGAGACCAGAGCCCATGCAGCCGCCACTCGTGACAGTGTCTGTCTCCAGACAATTAATATTGTCTGGGCCGGGCCTATACCGTACGACGATGCGTCTATGCCGGTGCGTCAAGACCCGACCAACTTCAATGTGACTAGAGGGCCGTTGAAGTTGGACTTTTGCCATATTTTCTTGCGACAGCCGAGGCCCCACACAAACGAGCAGGACATTATCATAAGCGATAGCGAACTGCAGCGGTTCGCGGCCCTTATGTGGCTGCCCTAGTCCTGGCGGTTTTGCAGTAAATATGACTGGACTTGAACCTGAAAATTCAAACGCCAACTTGCCATTTTACTATTACAATTCTTTTGTTACAGACCTATTGCGTCATCAAGTACTCTGGCTGCTTTAGGCATCGTCCCATTGTTCAAATATCTATCCGAGAACGAAGGGAGCTCGCGAAGGGATTAGGGATGGGTTTAATAGCGAAAAGATCACGTATCCCAAGTCGAACAAAAAAAGTAGGTATTAGAAAGTATAAAATTTAATCGACTTGCCCTCTTTCCGGCGGAGGGCCATGGATAATCTGATTTATTACCGTCTAGTGAATGTACAGTGAATTCCGGTTGAATCTATGGTGGCCTCGGCACCACATCGGCATAACCAGTACGACGGCCACGACGGCCACGATGGCCACAACGGGCATGTCCTCCACTCTACTCCTTGTGGTACACGACCGCGGCGACCTTGGACGCCTCCTCACCAAAGACGTCGACGTCCGTGGAAGCAAATTTGCGTGCGGAGATTCCCTTCTCAAAGAGAACATCGAGCTCGGAAAAGGTGCGACCGCGGGGCTCGGGCAGGCGGAAATACGCCCATACGGTGCTACAGAAGCAGAGGCCGCCCCAGAAGAAGCCGGCCTTGCCGGCCCAGTGCCAAGCAGTTGGGTTGAGCATGTACGGGATGACCACGCCATTCACGATGCTAAAGATGTTGTAGAGGTTGCGGGCGAGCACAATGGTCTTGTTGCGGACGCGGGTGGCTGGCATTTCCGAAACGAGACTGTAACAGACGGGGCCGACGGTGGAATCGTAGACGAACGTGTAGACGAGCAGCATGGAGCCCGTGGCCCAGGCGGTGGCGATGTTGGCGCTCTGCGTGGTGCCGTCGGCGTTGATGAGGATGGTGCTGGCGCCGGGCGCGAGGCTGATGAAACCGACGATGAGGAGAAGGACGCAGAGGGTGAAGAGGCCACCGACATACAGGGTGCGGCGGCCGAAATGGGACATGAGCACCCAACTGAAGAGCGTGCCGAAGAAGCCGATGCCGTACTGCGCGAGCGACATGTCAAAGGATTTGTCGGTGGCCAGGCCGGCGTTCTCGTAAAAGTACGTGCTGTAGCCCATGAGGCCGGCACCACAGAGGTTCTGCACGGCCCAGGTCAGGCACGAAATCTCGGTGCGACGGAGGTTGGCCTTGGAGAAGCACGACAAGTAGCTTGTGCCTTCGCACAGCTGGGCCTCGAGCGCCGTGGTGTGCACCATCATGGACACGGTCTCGGTGAGGTCGTCGCCCGGGCCGGAGGCCAGGCGGCGCAGCGACGCGGTGGCCTCGGCGAGACGGCCCTTGCGCACAAGCCACCAGGGGCTCTCGGGGGCGAGGAAGACTGCCACAATCAGCGGCACGGGCCACACCCACTGGACGGCAAAGGGGATGCGGTAGGCCCACTCGTCGGTGCGCGACAGCAGGCCGCGCAGCACGGACGAGCCAACGATCTGGCCAATGACCCAGCAGAGGTTGACGTAGGTGGTCAGGTACGCGCGCAGCACAACGGGGCACACCTCGGAGGCGTACGTGACGGTGACGGTCTGGAACACGCCCAGGGGGATGCCCATGAGGATCTCGCCGGCGATCAGGGCCGGCTTGTTGGGCGCGAAAAACAGGATGAAAATGAAGGCGACGACGGACGACAGCGCGGCCAGCATGGTCTTGCGGTAGCCGAAGCGCTCGGTCACGATGCCCGTGGCCATCAGGCCCAGGATCTGGCCGCAGTTCATGCCGTTGGTCAGGCCGGCTTGCCACGCGGCCGACAGAGCGCGCGTGCCGTCGGGCTGCAGGTCACCGTACCGGTCCTTGAAGGCCGGGTACGCAAAGAAGCTGCCCATCAGCACAACATCGTAGCCTTCCATGATGATGGCCGTCGAGAACAGCACCGACCAGCCAATGGCGTGCGGGTACGTTTTGATGCCGCGCCACAGCGTCATCGAGTGCTCCTTGGCAGTCGCGGCCTGGGCCTCGGCGGACACGTCGGCCATGTGCGCGTCGTCCGGCAGGTGCATGTCATTGTGGGCTTCCTTCTTGGTGTCCATGGTGGGTGGTGGGTGGGGAGTGGAGGGTAGAGGGTGTCGATCAAGAATAAACAATTGGGAAGATGAGAAGGTGATCGAATCCGATGAGGACCATCAAATCATCCTGAGAGCGGGCCGGCCTCGTGTCTTTATGTCTTGCAATCCGGAGCAACCTCATAATCGACGGTCTAAGCCGTATAATAGGACTGTGACATCTTTCTGGGTTCTTTTTCTTTCTCTTTCTCCTTTCTTTTCTTTTCAACTCTTTTCAACCAAACTTTTTTAGCCGCCCTGCTGTAACCTAGTGCTCATGTTTTCCCTTTTGCCCAACAAAACCGCGCTTCTACAAATCTAGATTCGCCTGCCGGCATATTACTTCATTCCACCAAGCCACGAGACCAGACACTCGTTGTTGTCTTGGGCGGCTGGCCTGGCCATGTCGCGTTTTCCCGGCTATTTACCACATGCGGTTTACCGCGCAAATGCTAAGCATTTTAGGTTGGGGTAGTGACTGCAGTGAATGCGTGGAGGGCCAGACCTCCGCGATTTGCGGGTCCTCTGACAACTGGGGAAAGAAGACCGCTATCCCCATCCTTGTGGGTGAAAGAGGGGATTCACGTTTTTTGGGAATATGGCATAATCATGATGCCGTGGCTGATCCGTCACCTTTGCATCCGACATACGCCCACCGGACAATTACCAGCTTTGCGCATTTTGCCTGACAAAAACCAAAAAATCAAAACAAAAACAAAATCCCCCCCCCAAAAAATGCTGACGTTCAAGCTGAGCCACGACAGCCGTGGAGCGCTGCTGCAGCATCCACCTGGGCCTGCCTGCGACCAGTGTCGCCACAAGAAGTCTGCGTGCAACCGGCGGAGTCCTTGCCAGGCCTGCGTGCGTCACGACATTGCCTGCTCCTACATGGCCATGCCAAAACAAAGGGGCCGCCGTCCACGGGCCCGGCCATTACCGTCAGCGCCTGCTGTCGAGGACGCCGAACATGAGCCGGCTGCTACACACACTGTCCACACTGTCCACACTATCCACACTACCCTCAATACCACACAAAGCCAACAAAGCTTGGACGCACCCGTGCCAGAAGCGACGTCCAGCATGGGCGCTCTGCCACCCATGGAACCCCGCCGTGACCTTCCGGCCCCTCAACAGGACGACATGACGAGCCCTTCGTTTACCGTCTGGACCATGAATTCGGACGCAGCCGCCGACGCACTGCCCAGCGACCACAGCCCCGTTTCGTCGCTGCCGTGGTCCACCGACACCGAATCGTTTGCGTCTGTCGAGCGCACGTCGTCACCGTCCCGCGCGTTTTGCGTCGAGATGGCGGACTGCGACGCGTGGTTCGCCGGCTGTGAGGGCCCGCCGGTGGCAGCAGCGGTGCCGGATACGACGACAGCGACGACAGTGGTGGGACTGCCGCCGTCCGCGCTGCCGGCACCGTTGGCCGAGATCCGCATGTACGTCGACGTCTTCTTCGAGCAGTTGTATCCCGTCTTCCCAGTCATCGACCACAACGAGCTCTACACGCTGCTGCGGCAGACGGAGCGCGGCGAGACGCCACTGCCGCTGGGCATGTACGCGTGTCTGTGTGCACTGTCCGGTGCCGTGATCGTGCAGCTCAATATGACGAGCAGCGACGCCGACGCCACCGCAAGCCCCTACACGGGTGGCGGCGGCGGTGGTGGCAGCCCCGGTGTCCTCGCCGAGGCGCAGGCGCAGGCGTCCCGGCGTGTCAAGTCGTCGGCCACCCACTTTATCGGACTGTGCCAAGAGGCGCGCCGCCAGCAGGACTTTATCGAGCACTGCGATGAGTGGACGGTGCTGACGTCGTTCTTTCTGTTCGCCTACCACGGCAACCTCAATCAGAGCCAACTGTCGTGGTACTACCTGCGCGAGGCCATTGGCTTCCTCCAGGCGCTGCGGCTCGACGAGGAGGACGCGTACTTTGGCCTGCCTATGGCGGTCGCGCAGCGCAAGCGGCGGCTCTTTTGGCTTCTTTTCATCACGGAACGGTGGGTCCCTTTTTTCCCACGGAGTGGTATACAAACGGACGGAAACAGAAAACAAAGGGACCGACACACTAACACCTTCGCAGGGCCTACGCGCTACAGCACCGCCGGCGCGCCGTGCTGCGCCCCGACATTGAGTTGCCCGGCATCTTCGGCTCGCAGGACCCGCGCATCGGCTGCGGCTTCGTCACGCTCGTCAAGCTTTTTTCGTCGGTCAGCGACGCCTTTGTCAACGCCTGGAGCAGCCAGCCGCTGACGGACTGCGAGCCCTGTCCGCCGGCCCTCTCCAAACCGCACCCGCACCACTGTGGCGGCACCACCACCACCACCAACACCCGCACCAGCAACACCAGCATCGAGCTGTTCCGCCCCAACGACGTCATGAATGTGCTCTCCATGGCTGAGATTGACGAAACCCAGCGCCTCGACATTCTCATCACTGAGAAGTGGCTCAACGTCCTCATTCACCAGTTGCACAATGGCAGCAACAGCAGCAGAGCTGGCGGCAACCCACTGCTTCCTGCGTCGTGTAGTTACGGCGGCGGCAGTAGCATTGCCGCCGTGCAGATCGGCAGCGTCTTTGTCATAGCCAAGAGCGTCGAGCAGCTGATTTCATCCGCAAGCCCCACATCGCTGCGGTGCCACGGCATCGGCATGGTTATGTTTTTTTTTTTTTTTTTTTTTTTTTTTTTCGCCTAGACCGACGTTGTACATTCTACGTTGAACATCTACGTTGAACATTCGCTGACGAACCCACGTCCCAGGAGCAAAAAGTGTCCGACATTGCCAATTGCCTGTGCGAGGCCCTCACGGCCCACCACGCCGGCGACAGCCTGCCCCTGCCCGCCGACAGGGCCATCGCCATCGGCTACCTGAACAGCTTCATGCTGTTTCTCGCGCACTTCCGCAACCATACTTCAGAGTACTTTGGGCCTCTCGTGCAGCGCGCGGGCGCCATCCTGGGAACGCAGAGCCTTCTGCCGGCACTTCTCCTGCCAGTGGACGTCGACGTTGGGGTCGGGGCCAGCGTCGGGCTCGGGAACGGGAACGTGCCCGGCCTTGTGGAGGCGGACATGAGTGATACGCAGGCGGCTCACAATGGGTTTACGCTGCTGCCGCGGCACGCCGATGAGAGCGAAATGTAAAATTATATTGTCTTCTTTTTGTACCAGTCTTTATATCCAATCTTCTGCCAGGAAATTACACAGGCATGCCAACGGTTCTTTTCTGTCCTCCCACCCCAATTGTGTCCACGCGATGTGCGAGTCGAGAGTATCGCCGAGGCGTGTGCAGATTCCCGGCGTAATATAACGTACAGGTACGAAATACAGGCAAGGTCCATCGTCAGCTTCATGCCTGACTTTGTGGACTTGTACTCGTACGTGCACTACGGTGTGGCGTTGTGAACCATATGAAGGAGCCGGGAGGCAGGCGAAGCAAAGGACCCTCTGCTCTCGGCACAAACCTCCTCTTTTCTCACATCTCACATGCTGTAGATGTGCCCGCCGCAAGACGCTGCGGACTCGGATCGGGGGGTCGACGCCCCACAGAACGCCTAACAGCGACTCCGAAAAAGGACCAAGGAGCTTTGCCCTTTTCGGTAATAAGCCGCCAAGCAGCTCAAAACCGTTGAAACCCAGCCATAAGGGGGTATTTTACCCTCTTTTTATATCTTTTTTATTTCATTTCTGACAGGAAACGTGAATGACTGCTGTTTGGCTGCTCTTTCGTCTGGTGTTTTTCCAAAGAATTCCGAAAGAATTTTTTCAAGAAGCCGTCGGCGTAAGAACAAGACCACCATGTCGACCAACGCTGTCTCCGATCTCCAGCTGGTGCAAGCCGCCGAGACTGCCGTGGGTAGCGTGCCTGCAACCCGGCACTGGTGGAAAGAGGCCTGCATCTACCAGATCTACCCGGCCTCGTTTTTTGACTCCAATGGCGACGGCATCGGCGACATTGCCGGCATCGAGTCCAAGCTGGACTATCTGCAGACGCTGGGCGTCGACGTTGTCTGGCTGTGTCCAGGTAGGTGCATCTGCTTTCCTTCTCTGTGCTATGGTTAAGGAGATGCCTTGAAGATGCCATGCTGACCAAAACCTAGTGTATACATCGCCCCAGGTCGACATGGGCTACGACATTGCCGACTACCGCACGATCCACAAGCCGTACGGCACGTTGGACGACGTCGACCGCCTGATTGCCGCCCTACACCAGCGCCAGATGAAGCTGGTCATGGACCTGGTGGTGAATCACACGTCGGACCAGGTGCGTGCGCGGATGAGAATGAATGAGAACGGACGAGAACGGACGAGAACGGATAAGAACGGACAAGGACGGACGAGGTCGTCTTTGGGTATGATGTCTAACATTTTGTGTCACAGCATGAGTGGTTTCAACAGTCCCGGTCGAGCCGTGACAGCCCCATGCGGGATTGGTACATCTGGCGCAAGCCAGTTTTCGCCCCAGACGGCACCAGACACCCCCCGAACAACTGGGCGTCCATCTTCGGAGGTATGTCAACGCATTGCTACGTACAAAAACAGGCTGATCGAACCATGACTCACCGTCTTCTAGGAAGCGCGTGGGAGTATGACGAGGCTACCAGGGAGTACTACCTGCACCTCTTCTGCACGGAGCAGCCCGACCTCAACTGGGAAAACCCTGCCGTCGTCGCCGCCGTCCACGACATCATGACCTTTTGGCTAGACCGCGGCGTCGATGGCTTCCGCATGGACGTCATTAACCTCATCAGCAAGGTGCCTGGCCTGCCCGATGCACCCATCACCCTGCCCGGCGCCGCCTTCCAGCCCGCCCACGACCACTACGCCAACGGTCCGCGGTTGCACGAATTCCTGCGTGGCCTGCGCGCGATCCTCGACCGCTACAATGCATTTGCCATCGGTGAGATGCCGTGGGCAAAGACGACCGACGAAGTTGTTATGTCGGTCGCCGAGGACCGGCGGGAGTTGAACATGGTGTTCCAGTTCGATATGTAAGTCTCTCTACGAACTCTACTCCATGGTAGGCTGAAACATGACAAAAGAGGGCCCGCTGGCTAACCCATCCTCCCTCCCCGGATTAGTGTCGACATGGACATGGGCGTCGGGGGAAAGTTCTCGCCACGGACATGGACGCTGCAGACGCTCAAGGACATTGTGCAGAAGTGGCAGACGTGCATGCAGGCGCAGGGCGGCTGGAACACGTTGTTCCTCGAGAACCACGACCAGAGCCGGTCGGTATCGCGCTTCACGCCACACCGGCCCGCGCACCGCAGTAGAGCCGCCAAGATGCTGGCTACCTTCATCGGCCTGCAGTCAGGCACGCTGTTCATCTACCAGGGCCAGGAGCTGGGTATGCAGAACCTGCCCAAAGAGTGGCCCATCGAGGAGTACCTAGACGTCGAAACGCAGAATTTTTACAAAGAGTGAGTCCAACGCTGCCCATTTGTTTTCTTTCTCGATTTGATTTTCATTCTCTACAATGCTCCATGTTCGTCCACCAACACGCTTAGATTCGTTTCAAAACACGGCGGCGATAAAGCCGGCGTCCAGCAGCTCCTCGGCCAAGTTGCCCTCAAGGCGCGCGACCACGCCCGCTCTCCTGTTCAGGTACGTCACTGGAAATGATCCCCCGAACATTGTTCTATTCTTGCCAACTACTGACGCCCATGAGTGGACGGACGAGGCAAACGCCGGTTTCACCACCGGCACGCCCTGGATGCGCGTCAACGACGACTACGGGGAATGCAACGCCCAGGGCCAGCTCAAAGACGCCGACAGCGTCTTTGCCTTCTGGCGCCGCCTCCTGCAGCTGCGCCGCCACCGCCCCGATGTCTTTGTATACGGCCGCTTCGAGATGGTGGACATGGGCCACCCGACTGTCGTCTGCTACCGCCGCATCAGCGCGACGAGTGGCGCCACCGCCACCGTCGTCGCGAACTTCACGGATAACGACCAGCGCTGGGCCATGCCGCCTGAGTTGTGGTCTCTACCGGGCCGGGCCAGGGTGATCCTGACTAATGTAGGTGCAGGGTCACCGCTTGAGGTCGACGTCCAACCAGACCATACCGTGCTTTTGAAGCCGTTTGAGGCGTTTGTGCTGCTCGAAGAGTCGTCCGCGGTTCCTTCGCGCGTTCCCAAGGGACACCTGTAAGACGAGAACGAATTAAGTAAGATAGACGCTTATACACAAACAGATAGAATTTAACACAACTATATTTTTTGTCTTTACCCATTCTACCTATTCTTATCAATTTATCATTACATAAACATCTTATATATTAATGAACATAAGAATCAGACAACTCTGCAGAATTCAGAATCAACAATCATTCATCACATATTATATCATACTATTATTCAGGAACTACGCAACAGTACGGCATTCTGAGTCGTGATACATGTGATACCTCACTTCTTGTTCCGTTACCTGGCATCTCGAAGCCAGTAACGTACTACGCTCGTGCGTAACATAAGTAACCGTTATTATTAATCAATGCATGATTTGGGACCAAAAAAGGGCCATGTAGAAGCGAGACAAATGTGGTTGGTGACCATTCCGTCACGCGATGAGAACGCCAACGGGGCCAAACTTCAAAAGGTAAATAACCGTAATTGCTACAGGGGATTACTCTCAGTAGGGTCCGCGGGGGCAGGTGAAGGTGTGGAGGAGAGGGTTGGCTTATGCAGACCTGGCTCTCAGGAAACCGAATTAACGCTTAACCAGAATCGGTAAATAACCGCAACCACACACTTACTTTTTTTTCGTCCTCACCTCCGCACTGCAAAACCAAAACCAAACATTTTCGTGTACTATGCTTCCCCGTGGGGAAGGCAATGCGGAATCGTTACCGAGGTAGGTCCGACAAAGTGCAAAACGAAAATAGTCCAAACGAAAAATAGAAAAAGAAGAGCAAAAAAAAGAAGAACCATGAAACGCGGGGAAAATGACAACAGACAGCATACATTCAGACGGGCGCTTGCTACCGTAGTCGTATTCGCCAAACTCATATAAACGGGCCCTGCGATCCATCGTGTTGATGTTGGCAAGATGTTGCGATAATCGTCAACACTGGAAACCGCAAATTCCAATTTACGGTCCTTGGCACATTCAACTCTCCACTGCCGCACAAAATGCCATCTTTTCGCGCTTTGGCAGCCGCCGTCCTTCTGCTCGTCCCCGGCTGCGTCCGGGGGGCGGCCGTCAACTCGAACCCGGGCAACAGCCACGCTCACGGTGGTGGTCACGGTGGTGGCAAAGGCGGTGGTCAGCGGAACGGCAACGTGACGCACTGCGGCACGGATTTTTGCACGTGGTGGCACACGACCGGTGAGATCAACACGTGGACGCCGGTGAAGCCGGGAAATGTGCGCCAGTCGCACCGCTACTCAGTCGAGGTCAGCCCGGCCGGCGCCAACACCTTCTACGACTCGTTTGTCTACGAGGCCATCCCGCGCAATGGCAACGGCCGCATCTACGCACCGACGGATGCGCCCTACAGCAACACATTGAGCGCCACCGTCGATGACGGAATCTCCATCGAGCCGTCCATCGGGCTCAACATGGCGTGGTCGCAGTTCGAGTACAGCCACGATGTGGACGTGCGCATCACCACCATCGACGGCTCGACGCTGGGCGGCGCCGGCAGCGTGACCATCCGGCCGACGGCAGACAACCTCGCCATGCGCGACGGCGGCGATGGCAGCGTCATCATCCGCGTGCCAGCAGCAACCAATGGCTACCGCTTCTCCGTGGAGTTTGCCAACGATCTGTACAGCTTTCGGTCCAACGGCTCCGACTACGTGACGTCGGGTGGTAGCGTCGTGGGGGTTGAGCCGACAAACGCGCTGGTCATCTTTGCCAGCCCGTTCCTGGCCGCCAGCGACGTGCCCAGCATGACGGCCGCCAACACGCACACGATGACGCCGGGCCCCATCAACAACGGCGACTGGGGCAACAAGTCCATCCTGTACTTTCCCCCGGGCGTGTATTACATGAACCAGGACCAGTCCGGCAACGTGGGCAAGCTCGGCTCCAACCACATGCGCCTGGGCAGCAACACGTACTGGGTGCACTTTGCGCCGGGCGCGTACGTCAAAGGCGCCATCGAGTACTTTACGACCGCGGCCCAGTTCTACGCGACAGGCCACGGCGTGTTGTCTGGCGAGAACTACGTGTACCAGGCGAACGCGGCCGAGGACTACGTGGCCGTCAAGAGCGACACGACGTCCCTGCGCATGTGGTGGCATAACAACCTCGTGCGTGGCCAGACGTGGACGTGCCAAGGGCCAACGATTGCGGCACCGCCGTTCAATACCATGGACTTCAATGGCAACAGCGACGTCAGCAGCCGCATCAGCAACTACAAGCAAGTCGGTGCCTTTTTCTTCCAGACCGACGGCCCCGAGATCTATGCCAACAGCATCGTGCACGACGTCTTCTGGCACGTCAACGACGACGCTCTCAAAATATACTACTCCGGCGCATCCGTGTCCCGCGCCACCATCTGGAAGGGCCACAACGACCCCGTCATTCAGATGGGCTGGACCGTGCGCAGCATCAGCGGCGTCACCATCGACACCCTCAACGTGATCCACGCACGCTACAGCAAGTCCGAGACGGTCGTGCCGTCGGCCATCATCGGCGCCTCCCCGTTTTACGAGGACGGCATGACCGTCAGCCCCAACGAATCCATCTCCATGTCTGTGTCCAACATTGTCTGCGAGGGCCTGTGTCCCGCGCTGATGCGCATTACGCCGCTGCAGAGCTACACCAACTTCAAGGTGACCAACGTCTCGTTCCCCGACGGCCTGCAGACCAACAGCATTGGCATCGGCGAGAGCCTCATCCCCGCTGCGAGCGGCGTCACCATGGACTTGATCATCTCCAACTGGACCGTCAACGGCACCAAGGTCACCATGTCCAACTTTGGCAGCGCCGATCTGGGCCAATTTAACATTGATGCCAGCTACTGGGGTGAATGGGAGATCGTCTAAGCAGGCGACCTTGCCGTAAGCCTTTTGAATAATGTAAGATAAACCGGCCGTCTTAGCAGTCGAAAAATGTAGAGCGGGCTAAGAAAAGTATATATATACTTTTTTGTCATGAAATAAAAAACACTGCCTTTGACTTTTTCCTTGGGATTTTGTAAACATCCGCATTCACGCACAACATAGTCGGATTCGATTGTGTTTTGCGAACTAAAAACATATTGACAAGATATAATCTGGTTGCTCGTTCTAGAGTTCGGTTCTAGCCACACGGGTATTATCCTCGTCGGCGGCGTTTATTTGACGAAGTTTGTACGCGGTGCCACCTTCAAGCTGGTTGACACGGGCGCGAAATGCTTCATTCTTCTTGCAACGTTTATCCGTAACCACACCGTTATTAAAGCCGTTAAACTCGTGGCTGCTTATTAGATAAAAAGAAGGAATGTTTATGTTACAAAGAGCACACTCCTTAAGTGAAGAAGCGTAATCCTTGCTGGTTTATTCGGCCACAGGGGCTTGTTCGCTAAGACAGTGATAAGGTGTAACGGTCGAACCTACTCAACATGTCTAACAGGGGTGTTGTCAGGAGTTGTTGGATACGTAGTCACAATAGAGGCTTAAGAGAGTTCGAACAGTGGCCGGGGGCGAAGATAGGTATGGTATTGTTACAAGACTAAATCTTGCCTCCTCTCTCTTCGGAGAGAGGAGGGTTCCTACGGAGAACCAACAACCATACAATAGACTACAATAGTGATACCTAGGCCTAGTGCTTCTGTGATCCGTACCCTACCCTGGAAGAGCCCGTAAGTCGACACTACGTGTCGTGCGCAACTCTAGGGACGTACGGTTGGAAGCCATAGGGACCAATGTCAACACGTGCGTGGTCGTCGCGGGCGACGCTGGCAGAAAAGCAGCGAATGAGGCGTTGGTCTGTTATAACAAACTCGGATAAACAAAAGAAATGAAGGACTCGGATCTACTGAGCCACAGACAACGACATCCCGTATACAGAAAACTACATTGATCACCTAGCAGAGCCGCCATGTCTCCAGGGAGAGTGCCTTCGTACCACAACCGCTTCGGTCGCTGGGATAGGCTACCAAAATCGGGCCCCTTCAAAAAAAAATAAAAAATAACAACTATAAGTAAATAGTACCTCGAAAGGACAAACCCCTCCACTGCAACAGCCGCCAAAAATAGTGGCCTCCGCCAGACAAAAGTGGCGGGCACAACAGCGCTTTCTCGCTTTAACGTGTAATTAATCGTCTCTGTGTGTGTTTTGGTGGAGGTGGTATGCAGTTTTGCTAGACATTTCTTAACAATAAAATGGAACGACAAAACTTAAGAAATAAGAATCGAAAAGTAAATTAAAGATAAAGAACGAAAGCTAACAATATCAAAGTATCTTCATGAAATGCCTCTCGATACGAAAAGGGCCGAGAAGAGAACAAGGTAGCAGACCCACCGGAATCCAGCAGTCAAGGTGCGACGATCCGAGGTTCCGCCACCACGCCAAACGAGAGTTTGGTAGAGGCGGGACCAGGTAGATCATCTTCCCCAAACAGGACGTCCCTGGAACTGAGGTTACATTCAATGGCAGAAGCTTATTTCTTGCTGTTGATTTTAACACGTCACATGCTGGCTCATATGGTTCACGACCTGCAAAGCACCTGCAATTGATTTTATGTCCGTGGCTATCTTGTCATAGGCATGGTTTTCGTTTACGAATATTTTAGTTTCCATGAGAGGACATTGTTCCCACCGCCATTTAGCCACGACAACGACTGGTTTTGACCGGCAATACCGGCCCTGACGTGGAGAGCATCGTACAACGACCAACGTCTAGCACTGCCCTCAGCCTAACTCGTTCTGCGCCGGACCGTGACATCCGTTTTGTAGGAGAGATCGTCGGATGGTAGCGCTTTGAAACGTAGTCGAATGTTGACGAAAGAAGACAATTGATATTTCTTTCGACTCCCATTTACCTGACACTCAGATCGTTTATAATAATTTCCGACATTCGTTTATCTCATATTCATTCAAATTTAATAAACCATACTATCGCTGCCCCGTGTCATAATATCGCCTACGTATGATATGATATACAGTCAATGCAACAGTAATCGCGTAAATGTAAACGGTTTCTATATCGAAGCTTGGCTCTAGTCTCCAATGCATCGGTAACTGCAATACTTTCAATGGTGTGGAGATATGAAATAATCAAGAGTGTACAAAATGAAGTGTACTGGTTTATTCTTCAAACTAAATAAAAGGTAAGGCGATCTGCCGAAAGGAATCCAAGACGCAAGAGGACGAAACAAGGCATGTGGGCGACGGATCAATTGTGCCTGTATTCCTTGGGCTTGGAAGTGTTAATTCGTCGTTGAGAAAAATTGTTCGGTCGGTCGGAAGGCAACTCCACGACCAGATCGGCTTCTTCCCACCAGCCATGTGTTGCCAGAGGGTCTTTTGTGGCGTCGTGGGAAAGTCAGGGCATTGTTCCGTCGAGAGAGGTGGCACTATGGCTGTGCCGGCTCGCAATGAACAGACATGATATGGAGCCACAGCGGAATCAGCAAGCAGCGAGCGTGGGGCGCATGCGAGACTTGACACCAGACTGCATGGCTACGTCAGATGACAGCCGACAGGAAGAGCGACAGGAAGAGCGACGGGCCACGTTTGCCTCCCCCAAAGCGGAATTCCCCAGGTTTTTTGTCGGCTTGTTCTTGTATAGTAGCGTGGTGTTATAGCATGGCGCGCATCAATATAAATTGACAGCGCCGTTATAGGCTGAACCCAAACAAGATAGATACCCAAAAAAGGCAAGACGAAAGAGGAAAAAGGGAAAAGGGGACAACACAAAACTCGGCCTGGCCTCTCGTCAGCCGCGTCGTCTGCAACAGCCGAAACTCGGTTACCATGCCACATTGTTCGACCGATGGCCGAGGGCCCGCCTTCATAAGTCGTTCCTCTGCATCCTGCTTCCCTTCCCTTCCCGGCACATCAATTTGGCAAGCTTTTCAAGCCTTTCCCCAGGTCCCCCCCATCCTGCAGCCCCCAACATCCCCAATATCCAAAAGTGACTGTGGTTCGCCAGCATCCAATATGGCGACCGGGGTTTTTTTATCCGTACCTGCCTGGCCTTGGCACAGCATACGATGTATGGTCGGCATATCCCAGCGTCGATCCCAGTGGTGGGAGATCTCGTTGGCGGAAAGACACGACCGGGCGACAGAGGGAAGAGTGGATCCCTTTCTGTATTAGTCCAAGGTTTATCTGTTGACTGTACGGGGCCCCGTTGTGCTTTGCATGAATGGTACCATAGTGCCTATGCGTGAAATAAAATAAGCATGGGCCAAGCCTTGGACCCGATTTGAGTATAGAGTCGTAGTAGCCTCGTGGACTTTGAAAAGTAGATATGCCCTGGCCACGAACGCATGAGCGTCGAAATTCTGACTGATTGCTGGTTCGTTTTGTTCCTTCTTTTGTTCTTTTCCTTCCCCTTTCCTGGTCGGTCTCTTTCTTAAGGGCAGAGCACACAGCACCCTCCACAAAGGGCCAGCCCTGGGAACGAGCCTGCCCTGTCATCTCTCGTTCATGCTTGGTTCCTCTTTGCCAGTCATATTCATCATGATTTAATTATTTTCTTGTCTTGTTATTCGCCCATCACCGTCGCTATCTCATCGTGTTCCAGATTTCCATACATTATACAGAGTCAATTTGTTTCGTTGTTGCTTGTTTTTTCTTTTCTTCTTCGCTGTCCTACCATAGATTCTTGGGTTGCATCGTGCTCAGCCTTCGGGCCGTGACCATGGCGGCACCACGCGCACACCGTAATGACACAAGCTCCAGCTCCGGCTCCCACGACGACATCACGCCCGTCGATGAACGTACTGAGTTTGTCGATCTCGAAAAGAACCTGAGCGACACCAACACGCCGTCGTCGCCCACGCCTGCGATCCTCGAGACGGAGCTCTTCTCCGTCAAGTCGTTCCAGGATGACGGCATCACGCTCTTCTCACCGCACTCGACGCCCGAGTTGGCCCTCGCATGGCCGCCCGGCTGGACGAAGCAGACGGCCAGCGATGTTCCGGACCATGGTCGCCGAGGCAAAGTGCTGTCGAAGCGGCTGTCCGCCAAAGGGTCCACGCCCAAGACGGACCCTAAAACAAAGCCCGCCAAGCCCCAGCCCAAGGTGGGCCGTTGGCTGCGCTTCCGGCTCTGGCTCAACACGTACCGCGGCTTCTTTATTTTCGTGACGTTGCTCAACCTCGTCGGCATCGTCCTGGCCGCCACGGGCCACTTTCCGTATGCCGACAACCACCTGGGCGCGCTCGTCCTGGGCAACCTGCTGTGTGCCATTCTCATGCGAAACGAGCTGTTCCTGCGCTGCCTGTACACGCTCTCCATCTACGGTCTGCGGTCCTGGGCACCCGTCCGCGTCAAGCTGGCCGTCACGTCCGTCCTGCAGCACGTCGGCGGCATCCACAGCGGCTGTGCCCTGTCGGGCGCGGGCTGGCTGCTGTTCAAGGTCGTCGACATTGTGCTGCACCGCGCCGTGCAGCCCGACTCGGTGCTGGCGACGGGCGTCGTCACCAACGTGTGCGTTATGGTGTCCATTCTGAGCGCGTTCCCCTGGGTGCGCAACAACCACCACAACACGTTTGAGCGGTACCACCGGTTCATCGGCTGGCTGGGCCTCGCGGCGACGTGGGTGTTTGTGATTCTGGGCAACACGTACGACCTCAAGTTAGGCGCGTGGCGCGCAGACGCACACTCGCTGCTGACGGCCCAAGAGATGTGGTTTGCCGCCTTCATGACCATCTTGTAAGTCCGCTTCCTCGCACATGAAACCATACGTTCTTTCATTTCTTTCTATTTTCTTTTTCTCACTAACCACTGTAGCGTCATCATTCCGTGGGTCACCCTCCGCGAGGTCCCCGTTGAGGTCGAGCTGCCGTCGCCCAAGGTGGCCATCCTGCGCTTTGAGCGCGGCATGCAGCAGGGCCTGCTGGGCCGCATCAGCCGCACGTCCCTGATGGAGTACCACGCCTTTGGCATCATCAGCGAGGGCCGCACGGCCGACCATCACTTTATGATTTGCGGCGTGCAGGGCGACTTCACCAAGGGGCTCGTCAGCGACCCGCCCAAGACGGTCTGGACGCGCGAGCTCAAGTTTGCCGGCGTCGGCCACGCCTCGGCCATGTTCAAGCGCGGCATCCGCATCTGCACGGGCACGGGCATCGGCGCGGCCCTCTCGACCTGCATCCAGAGCAAGAACTGGTTCCTCATCTGGATCGGGTCGGACCAGGAAAAGACGTTTGGGCCGACCATCACGGGGCTGATCCACAAGCACATTGAGCCCGAGCGGATGATCCTGTGGGACTCCAAGAAGCGCGGCGGGCGCCCCAACAGTGTGCAGCTGCTCAAGGACACGTGGACGAGCTTTGGTGCCGAGGTCATCTTCATCACGTCCAACATGCAGGGCAACGATGAGATGATGCAAGGCTGCCGTGAGGGTGAGTGACTTTGTTTTTGTATAGCTTTTTATATTTACTTTTTTTATACCGTTTGTACAAACTGACACGATGACAGCCGGCATGCATGCTTTTGGCACGCTCTGGGACTTCTGAAACGGGGTGTGAACACGAAACGACAAAGGCAGTACTTATTCTGCTACATGGGGATGGGAGCTTTGTATTTTGCATTTTATCTTAGGAGGGAAACCAGCATATAGAGGCTCGAAAGACAGACGAAGCACTGTGAAAGGTGACTGAAGATGGGCGTGGGAAGAAGGCAACCAATTCCACATTTGCATTAATATATACATCAAGGAATCTATCTGCAACCCAACCAAGTTGGGAGTATCCGTTGGAAGTACCCGTCCGTCTATGGCGCCACAAACAAATCACCCAGCCAAACAGCCATCCGTGCCACCATTTCCTTTGTGCAGCTATGCCCTGTATTTTCTTGGACGAGCAGGTCAATGAGAGGTGGCTTGGGATCGGCATTTCTAGGTACGTACGGCGGCCGCACCACGTCGCTTGTCGGGGCCACGCCGCGGTCTCTTGCCCACGCGGCGGTGTACTTGGCTGGCACTAGCCCGTCGTCGGCGCCGTTGCAGAGCAGAACGGGTGTCTCGGCAGGAAAGGCCTGGGCAATCTGCTGGTCTTGCCGGGCTACCAATGCGGCCAGCGCGCGCGGCCAGCGGGCTTGTTGCCGTCCGTCTAGATCGTCATACGCGTCCCCCGCCGCGTCCGCGACCTTGCCGTCCGTCAGCCGCCCCACGAGCAGCGACGTCAGATTCGGACACCCGACCACCATGGCATACCCGGCCACCTGCCCCGGTGGGGCCTGTGCCGCCAGCCGCCACGCCGTGTGGGCCCCCAGCGAGACGCCGGCCATGACATTGTGCAGCCGCTGAAACTGGGGGAGGTACACGGGCAGGTAGTCCATGACCAGCCGAAAGTCTTGGACGCCGCCGTCAATCAGCGACAGCAAGTCCATGGCGTGGCGCTCGTTGCCTGCGGCCCACGTCCGGTTGGCGGCCGGACAGATCTCGCGCTCGCCGTGGTTGCGCATGTCCATGGTGACGGCGATGAGGCCCATCGTCTTCGGCCGCGGATCGGTGCGGTAGCGGTGGAGCAGCTCGTGGGCGATGCCCTCGGTGACGCGGTAGGTGCGGGTTCGGTTGTGCGCGAGGTAGAGGACGGCGACGTCGGTGGCCGTCGCTGCACGTGAGGTGTCTGCTGGCGGCGACGATGACAGGTTGTCGAGTCCGTAGACGTAGATGCGGACGCCACCAATCACCAAGGAGGTCTTGCTGGACCGCGGTGTGGAATCGGGCAGCGAGAAGCGAGGGTTGAGGCCGGCAGCCTTGTCCCGTAAAAGGCTGTCGTCGCCATTTGGTACACCGTCGGTGCCGTCGATGCCGCCGGTGCCGTTGGTAGCGTTGATTCCGGTCACATTGCTGGCTGTTCCATAGCTTGCATTAGTGGCGGCCTTGACCGTCTCAACAATGGTGACCGCCATGATGCCGTCCCAGTACTGCTTGTCGTTGTGTATGCCTGACGTGTGCAAGGCTAAAATCAAGTGCAAAGTTGGTCAGGTGCAAGTATCGTCAAGTGAGGCAAAGCAAAAGTATGCAGCAGATCGGGCCTCTAGACGCTTGGCTCGGGACCAGGCCGGAGCAGTATGGGACGTCCGAGCACTAGACCTTGGCAGGCATCGACGGCCGGGTAGGCGGCATGTCTTACATGTATTTTCTTGAAAAAAAAAGGTCACTGTGAAGTGAAGGGTAATACGACGGATTTGCGTTGCATTTGGCCTGTAAGCTGGTTGCAGTGCACGCAAAATTGCCGTATTTGCCGGTGTGAAGTGTCGGCAATTAGTGGCAAACCATGAGCGGCACTCGACTTACATGTATTTACCGAATCGGTTATTAGCGAGGTGTTTGCCGTTTCCGCTGGTCAACTGACAAAGACAACGGTAGCGCTATTTGTGTGGATCTGATCCTGCTGCGACGTTGAACCGAGTCTCCCTGTGTGTTATTTTCTCTGTTATACCAGCCGAATTACCTTATTGCCTCCCCTGCAAATCACAGCCAGGCTGTGGGGGCCAAGCACAGGCGCTGCGCATGCTTACCTCAAAGGCGCAAACGGCAGCGTCATCGGGGAACTTGCCGCGGGTGTTTTGAATTATTTTTATTTCGTTAACAAATATGATTTTGCTTCAATTTTTTAACGTCCTATGTACGACATAGTACTGATAACGGACTTAATCTGAAGGGCTTTGCTTCATTCTTTCCATCATTCTCTCAAACTTTGTTTTTGTCTGCAACAAATAGTTAAAGATATACCTTGCGTATCTAACACTAGTCAGATATTTTATCTTTGGCCATTCTGTTAGAACCGTACGGGCCTTAACTTGACGACAAATCCCATAGACTAGGAGATCCATCCATGTCTGCGTGTAGTCCGAATGCCTGTCAAAACTTGTTAGCGGGCGATGATAAAAAGAGAACTAGTCAAAACAACAACAACGAAAGTCAGTAATACGAACCGACGAGTCAAGATCCAGCCAATCTGTGGTCTGCCACCCGTTCCACAGATCTTGTGTCGAGTGGAGGCTGTCATCGGTGGGCGGATCTGGGAGGCCTGACATTTGGGCGGCGTTCAGGTCGAAGGGCGCAGATTGGACGTGTGTCTGGGCCTGTATCTGCACCGTCTCACCCAGGTCGTTGTCAAGGGTGACTTGTGTCTGACGTCGAGCTTCGCGCCGCAGCTCCTCAAGAACAACGCTGTATCGCCGACTCGGCGAGTGCACGGACGTGGCCCTGTCGAGGTGTTGAAGACAGCGGTCCGCCAGTGTCGACAACTGGGCGAGCGATAGCTGGTCGTTTTCGTGGCCAGGATGCCTGTTTTGTTGAATCTCACAGACGTAGACGACGGCAATGGCGCAGAACGTGACGTAGACAGTCCACCAAAAGGCATGAAATAGCGATCCGTCGTTGGCCATGGAGGCGACGGTTTCCAGCGCGACCTTGGCGGCTGAGACACACTCGGCGGTGTATGTGCCGTCTGCTGCATTTTCCGTCGCTTGGTGGAGGTAGATGCCCCTCTGTCCCAGCAGGAACGGTCGATAGGCGTGTATAATGGCGTGGCAGTAGGCCAGCTTGAGAGCAGTCGACTGGCGTCGGAAGCGGGGGATGAGGCTCGATGGTTTGACGGTACCGAGGTGGGCTGGGAGGGATGCCCGCCATGAATGTAGTGCAGAGACGGAGCGATGGGCAGCGGCAATGCGTTCTCGTGTGGGGATATGCTGGATGGCGTAGACCTCCCGCGAGATTTTGGCGACAATCTGTGAGAGTCTAGAGCAGTTAACTAATGCTGAATGAAATACAATAAAATACGTAACAACTAGAGGGACAACGGGGCCTACTGAGCGTGGAAGATCATCGCATCTAGGTAACAATCGTCGGCCGCCTCGGTGGTGGACGGTCCCTGGGGCGTCATGTCTTCATCGTTGACACAGTCGGGAAAATCGAGCTCAATGTCTTCATCGCGGTGCTGCATAGGCCGACCCAAGATAACACTGAGGTAATTATCAATGATGTACGCCACCCAGAACGTGCGCTTGCGGCATTGGATGTTGATGTAGTCTGCCCTTGATCTCGACCTGGATCTTGACAGATTGTGTCTAGTTCGCCCGCCTTGCCGGTGTAGCCCTAGTGCCGCCATTATCTGTGACGTGATGCCGAAGACGTACCATCCTTGGTTCATCCTCGCCGTCTGCAGCAGATACAGTACCTGGACCAGTCGTGCCTGGGCAGACTCGAGTCGCGGCAGGCCTGTCTCGGCGTCGGTCAGTGCTCGGGCGGCGACAAAATACGGATCGCTGCGACGCAGTGCGCGAGCCTCGTCCTGGGGATATTCGGAGCGCATGCGGATCTTTTCTTGGCGAAACGTCACAATGGCGAGGATACTGAGGACAATGGATGCTCTCGAGTGCCCGAGGCCGTTTTGTAGCGGCTGACCCTCTTGCACATTCTGAAGCATGGCCTTGAGCCATCCCATGATGGTGGCCTGGTGGAAGATGTGGTAGGTGACGACGCAGGTGTCAAAGTAGTAGGCAAGAGCGGCCATGGATGTGTCTCGGTCGGGGAGTTCCGTAGTCCCATCATCGTCACACTCCAAAGGCCGGTCGCCCGCCGTCATCAGCGGCTGCTGTTTCTCTGCGCCGCTCGACACATGCGGCGCAAACTCGGCCTTGTGGGACGACAGTCGCTTGAACGCCCGGTGGAGAAATGTCAGACCGGATGTCGGGTCAAAGTACTGGCCCTCAATCTCGGCCATATCCACTTCTGGCGATGCCCGGGAGGGAACATCCACATCGACAACTGCGATTGAAGGGGGTAGCGGTGGATGTGCTGGAGGAGGAGTCGGCGGCCGGCCTCGCGAGTACTTGGCATCGTAGACGCAGGCCAGTCCTTTTCGCGTGCATCCATCACACGGCAGCGTCCCTGAACATTTTGCTTTTTTCGCTTTGCAGACATCACAGGCGCGGCTGACTTTGGGTTGTTTTCTTGGGCTATCCTTGTCCTGGCGGCCATTGATGCTGGGTGTATCCACCTGGGAGGAAGACGATGCAAGGTGACTGCGGCTGTGGCTCCGTTTGCGGTGTTGCGGCGTGACGACAGCGGCGGCCGTTGGCTGATCCATTTCCATTTTGTTTACGCAGTAGCTTTGTTATGATTCTGGTAAAGAGGAAAAGGTTCCGTTTGAAAATCCGAAGAAAGCCGGATAAGTAACCTGTGTTTAGGAACAAGGTGGGGCGGAAAAATCGCAAAAGAGGAAATAACCACAATTATCCGTCCAAGTGTCACGAGGTCGCCACAACTTAGACTGGCGACTTAATTTCCTTAATTTTTCATCGAATGACCTGATTTCATTCCGCTAACTACATAAATGCAATTACAGACTATATTTGTACAGCGGGCTCTTATCACCCATGCGCTCCAGCTCCTCGTCGGAGTACTTTTCGCGGATCTCCTCCTCGGTCCACTGTGCGTCACGCAGATTGATTTTCCAAAAGACGTACTCAAGCACCAGAGCGGCAACAAGGCCCGCAGCACCAAAGGCCAGAGAGGTCCCGTAGCCGGTCGGGTAGCGCGGGGCCTCCTCCTCCTTGTAGATGTAACTGCCGACGACGCCGCCAATGTTACCGGCACAGACCAAAACGCCAATGCTGATGCCGCGCTTGATGGGACCAGCCGTGTTGACAAGGTTCCACGCCTGGACGCCGGGGAATATGGGGTACATTCTGGAAGAGTCGATGTCAGTATTTGAAGACCGTACAGAGAGCATAGAGAGCATAGAGAGCACATGTTAGTTACTCACCCAAAACAGGCTAGGCACACAGCAACGTAGCACAATGCGATGTGCGTCTTAATCTCGGCGGCGTAACTGAAGAGAATCGCAAACCCGGTGACAACGAATATCTGCGGGCCGACGATAAACGGCATGCGCCACGCTGACCGGTCTGCCCAATACGACAACGCAAAGGCAGAAATCCCTCCACAGGCGTACGGTGGAATGGTCAGAAGCTGCGCATTGGCCGACGTGAAGCCCATACTCTGGATAATAGTGGGCAAGCTGAACTTAAGCCCGTATGTCGGCACACCCTGAGACCAGTTGACGAGGATAAATAGGTATAGTTTCGGGTCGGCGAGGATGGACCACAGGGCCTTCCAGTCAAAACTCTTTTCACGACCAGTCGGCACATAGGTGCGCCGGGCGATCTGGCGAATCTCGAGATAGCGGACCTCGTCAGGGGCTAAGCTTCGAGAGTGGGCAGGGGAGTCGAGTAAGACAAAGAAACAGGCGACGCCTAACAAGACAGTGGCCAGACCTTCGATGATGAAGATCTAGATAGTTAGCGGCTGTGCACAGACAAACACTCCAGTCAACGTTCTCGGGAAAACGTACCCACTGCCAACCTCTGTATCCTCCAACGCCGTCCATCTTGGACAGAGCAAAGGCCAACAGTCCCGAAAATGCACCACCCGTGGCCGCTGATGTGTACAGGATTGCAATTCGTTTCTGCGTTTCTTCGGGAAGATACCATCGAGAGATAATCATGATGGCGCCGGGGAAGAAGCCGGCTCTGGACGATAAAAGTTAGTGGGATGTCCAATGTACGGTCGCAATGTACGGTCGATAACAACGGGGCTCCCTACTTACTCAAAAAGTCCAAGAAAGAATCGCACCACGACAAGACCAGCAAAATTGGTCACCAAACCGGTGCATGTCATGGTAATGCCCCAGATAACAACAAGTGCTCCAAGATAATACGACGGTCGCTTGCACATGTTCAGGATCATGTTGCTGGGAACCTCTGCTAGGACATATGGTATAAAGAAGATGGATAGGGCGATGTTGTACTGGTCGCCGTTCATATGCAGACTGTCCAGGAGGCCCTCGATTTTGGCATTGCCTGTAGGAGGTTAGAAAAAAAATTGCATTTTGGCAGGATTCGTACAACTCTACTTACCAATGTTTGTCTTGTCGAGGTAGGCAATGAGGTAGAGAATGAGGAGCATAGGGATGAGCCGCACATCTACTTTACGAAGGACACGCTTTCTCTGGTCCTCTGTAAAGTTGGCGAGAAATTCCACATCGTCCGCAGAGAGACCTCCCGGCCGCGGGTGCTCTTCGTGCATCACGTCGGTGTCCTTCTTTGATGTATGAGATGCGTCGTCCATGCCAGACGCGCCTGAATCAAGCCTTTCGTTGCCCATTTTGAGAATATCGGCCTGCCGAGATTCTGAGGTGACCACAGTGAGTACTAACTTGAGAATGGTGACTTACTTGACCCTTCCAAACGAAATCCAGCTCCTTTAAATATTCATCACGGTAGTAGAATAGAATTGGCCACCCCGTACTTCGTTCTCTTGGCTGTGCCTGATCTGGGGGGAAAGTTGAGTGGTGAAGGGGCCCCAGAAAATCAGAAAATAGCGTGACGACGCATTACCAAGTACGTTGTTTGTTGAGACCAGAAGTTTTCGAACAAGTCCACCTGTAAATGGGCCGGAAAGAAATCCGGCTCACCACCGGATTTCACCAGGTCCACCACGGATTTCTGTAAAGGTCGCTTGCGGATTTACTAGTGGCTAATCCCCGCACGCTACTGAATCCGGGGTATTATCAAGCCGTGAAATGTGGTGACCAACACAAAAGCTATCCACACAACAAGCCCTGTCTTTTCCGGTATATTTCTCTACGAGAGTCCGCAAAATCCGGTACGAGGATCTCCAACGAAGGCCTGGAGAATCCGTTAACTCTGTTCAAGAGGTGGAGACGGAGGATTCCGAATCTGACTTGCCAACCGTTCTTTTCCGAGGATGTCATAGAACCAAGATAGAGATATGAATATATATATATTGACTGCATAGGCTGCGTTCTGCATTCTCTGGATTGAAACATGTAAGCCATTACACCAGACATCTCTGTTAACTCAAAGAAATTTTCGCCCAAGCATCGTCACTGTTTCTCACATCTCCTCCCAAGCAAACCAAACAATCTCACAACATGGCAGCCAACGGCACCAACGGCACCAACGGAGCAAAGGTCGGCTTCGACGTTAGTGGACTCGTACCGGCGCCCGTCACGCCTTTCAATGAAGATGGCAGCGTCGACTATGCCGCCATTCAGCGCCTGGGGTCATGGCTCGGCAGCATCGACGGCGTCAAGGGTCTGGTGGTGCTAGGCCATGCAGGCGAGGGCACGTTTTTGACCCAGGAGGAACAAGTCGACGTCATCAAGGCGTTTGCTGCGTCAGTTAACCATAAGGTGCCCATCATTGCCGGAATCACGGCCGAAGGCACCGAAGTCGCTGCTCTCGAAGCCAAGAGGGCCAAGGAGGCCGGTGCGGCTGCGGGCCTACTCTACCCGTCCCATGGCTGGCTGCGCTTTGGTTACCAACCAGGTGCCCCTCAGGACCGCTACCGGCGCGTCTATGAGGTCAGCGGCCTGCCGCTCATCCTCTTCCAGTACCCGGACAACACCAAGGCGACGTACAGTCTGCAGACGATGCTGGACATTTCGGCGCAGCCGGGTGTCTTTGCCATGAAGAATGGCGTGCGGAACATGCGCCGCTGGGACACGGAGATTCCTGTGGTCCGCCGCGAGCGGCCCGACCTGCAGATCTTGACGTGCCACGACGAGTACCTTCTGCACACTGCCTTTGACGTCGACGGCATGCTCGTCGGCTACGGCAACATTGCACCGGAGCCCCTGATTGAGTTGATTGCGGCTGGAAAGGCAAAGGACTACAAGCGGGCTCGGGAGCTTCACGACCAATTGCTGCCCGTTACCAAGGCTGTCTACCACCGTGGCTCGCATATGGAAGGCACTGTCGCCCTCAAGCACGCACTGGTGGCTCGCGGTATTCTGAACCACGCCGCCATCCGGTCGCCGCTGCTGCCGCTTCCGGATGGTGCTGAGGAAGAGATTCACACGGCTGTGAAGCTGGCGAAACTGCCTCGCGTCCTGTGAGGTGTGGCTAAGGTGAAATTTGGACCCGAACATATAAAAATAGATAGGCATCAATATAGAAACGTGTAAATTACAATAAGCGACGGGCTGCCATATTCTGATATCCATGCTACAATCCGTAGACAAGATTCTCTATCAACACCTTGATATTAACTTCTCATCTTAGAGCCTTTATCCGCTGCTTATTACGAATGGAAACACTGTCGGTTCGGCCATGTCGTTGGGGGCCAAGCATAGGCGCTGCATAGCCTGGCTCCTGCAGAGGCGAAGACACAGGCTACGTCAGCCTGCAAAGAGACGAATATCTTATTGACTGCTTGCTTGGAAAACAGGGAGGAAGCTACTTCGTAAAGTGGGCCCAAGACGGGTGCTAGAGCTAGGAGCCTCAAAGAGACATCCTCGACAAACTTGTGGCCACGTTCGAGAAAGACTACAAAGGCTTTAGTCGCAGCGTCGAGGTGCTACGCACCCGAACACGAAAAGGCAAGACGGAATACCTGCTACGGTGCATGGGCCGCCCGACAAAAGAAGACTAGTGGGTGCCAAAGAGCCAAAGAGGCACATGAGCCTTGAGATAGTCCAGAAGCACAAGCCGGTTAAGACCAGCAGCCGCCGAGGCCGGCGACGGAAGTAGTGACTACCTACGCTCGTACTGTTGGCAGTGTATAAAGGCACAGCGGGCACAGCGGGCACAGCGGGCACAACGGGCTCAGGGAGCACAGGGAGCACAGGGGAGCACATAAGGACACATCCACTAAGCAGGTTGGAGCAGGGACGGCACAGGTGCACCTCCAAAAAAGAAAATTCTCAGTGAGGTTTTTCGTGTTGTATATTATACTGCTATCTACACAGTCTCACAGTATTTACATTTCGTGTGTGCTAAGCCACGCTCGTATCCCGAATATCCAGTTTCCTCCCCCAGTACCCCAGCTCCTCCACCTGTCATCTACCAATGCGCCCCCAGCATTCCCCGGATCGTCGGCATACTTACCTCTTACGGCAACCTTCTCACAAGTCTGTCAATGTGTGCTTGGCAAAAAAGTCCAGAATCATGGGCGTCGCGTTGAAGCTCGTGGGTGCTTGGCCGGCATTTTGGTTGTCGGCATTCGGCTGCGTGCTCGGCCAGTCGTGGCCATTGACGCTGTCGTAGACCAGGTTGACCAGGCCTTTCTGGGTCCCACGGCTGAACTCGTAGATGACCGTGTCCTGGGCGTACGGCACCGTGTGGTTGCTCGCCCCCAAGTTCTCCCGCGCCGCCCACGACTGGATCCAGTGTGGCACCGACGGCAGACACGCCTTCTTTCGCTCGCCGCCGCCGTATGCAATGACGGTGTCCGCGCCGCCGTGGAACGCCAGGAGGGGAATGTCGCGGCGCGCATTGTTGCAGGGGATCGCGACCGTGTCGGCGGCGCAGGGCAGCGCGTCCACGTAGTAGGCACCCGACACGGGGGCAAAGGCGGCTATCCGCGCGGACAGACCGGCATCGCAGGCCAGCACGTTGCAGAACCCGGCGCCGTCCGACTTGCCGGTGGCCATGATGCGCCGGGTGTCCACACAGTATTGTCGGGACACGTGGTCGAGCAGGTCGCTCGTAAACTGCACATCGTCCACGGTGACGCCGGGCACGCCCTGCCAAAAATTGTTGATGCCCTGTGGATAAATCACAATGGAGTCAGTGTTGAACTCGGGCAACGTCAGATTGTCAAGCTGCAGTTGCTGCAGAGCGGTCTTGGTGCCCCCGTGGTACGACAGGATGACCTGTGTAGGCTTTTTCTTGTCGTAGTTGGGCGGCACAAACACCAGGTAGTTGCGGTCCAGGCCATTGCTGGTGATGCTGACGTTGGTGACACCACCGCGAGACTGGCCGTGCGGGAGGGACTTGTGGCAGCCGGTGACTGCTTTGGTGGTGCATGGTGACGCAGTGGCCATCGACAAGACGCCGACCAGACAGGCAACCGTTTGCAGGGAAAAGGTGAACATGGTGATGAACAGATGTGCAAAGAGCGTGTTAACAATAGAAGGAAGCTGTGAATACGCAAGGGCACTCGGCTGGTTTCGATTCTCTTTACATGTTCATAGTCAGATAGACAAGCTGGCGATGCATGACTATAAATACGTTAGCTATGCAGCCTCAGCGTGCCGAACCAGCAGGCAGTGTGTATTTGCTGCATACTCTCGTCTTATTTTAATTATTTTTAATTATTTTTATAAATATTCAATCCTAATCTGACTCCACATCAGATTCCCCGCACGCAAGTACTACCAGGATACGAGCATTAGACGTGGAGGCCGTGTGCGCAGGTAGAGACCATAATTGCCGAAGAGGCATCTTTGAGTCGGAGCTTTGGATTTGCCGTATGAGCACGGTGCGCTTACCGGGGACAGAGATTCAGGGGAGAGCATGGGCAGAGTAGGGACATAAGAGAAACAATGCCTACCAAACCGAGACTAATCAGGCTAGGCCAGAGTTCCAAGCGATCGGGTTGAACGACACGTCCTAGAACGGTCGGATGGCGTACGGCGTCGGGTCAAGGTCTTCGTTGCCCCATTTCTTGGTATTTCCTTCCTGTTCACGAAATATGATCTCCTGGGTCCGCAGAGCCTTGTCGATTCTCGTAAAGACGAACATGATGGCTGCTACGGTGGAATCAGGTGAGTCTTGTGCTCTCCTGCCGTTCTCGATGCACGGTACGGTAAAAACAAAGAAACAATGGCGGACAGAAAAGGAATGAAAGCCGAAGTAGGAATTAACACAGAGAAGGGAAATAGGCGTGCTCCGGACGAGAGCTGCAGAAAGAAGCTCTTATCTCGGTTGGGTGTCAGTGTAGGTAGTTAAACCTCGGGTTGCGGCTTAGGGCTTATCATTTGCATTGCCGATACGGTCCAATCCAACACCCCGGTCTCGGTGACATCCTGCATTCTGGGGTGGCCGCATCCTTTGCGCGTACTTTTCTTGTCAACCGACAATCTCTGGGTATGATTGTCTCGTCTGAATCGTCTACAGACGTCCACCATCGCCTATCTTGTCTACATCAAGCACCACATCACAGCACATCATGGCCCCATCACACAACCCCGACGGAAGTGCCGCCTCCCTCGACGCCGCCAGCATTGATCCCCTCCGCGACACGCAGTACGACTTCCCCCGCGACCACGTCGGCTACGGCCGCCACCCGCCCAACCCGCGGTGGCCCAACGGCGCCAAGATAGCCGTCTCCTTTGTTATTAATTACGAAGAGGGCGCCGAGCGCAGCGTGCAAAACGGCGATGGCCAGTCCGAGGCCCGCGCGTGGGAGCATTCGGACAGCAAGGCCCCCCAGGTCGGCGCCCGCTCCCTGAATTCGGAAAGCGACTACGACTATGGCTCACGCGTCGGCGTGTGGCGGCTGCTGGCGTGCTTCGAGGCGCACCAAATGCCGGTGACGGCGTTTGCAGTCGGGCAGGCGCTGGAAAAGAACCCGGCGGTGGCTGCCGCGCTCGGCCAAAACGGGCACGAGATTGCATCGCACGGGTACCGGTGGGTGACGTACCACGGGATGACGCCGGCGCTCGAAAAGGCGTACGTGGAGCGACAGCTCGTGTCCTTGAAAGCGAGCACGGGCCAGTACCCCGTTGGCTGGTACTACGGCGCACTCTCGCCCCGGTCCAAGGCCATCATCCACGCGGTCTACCGAGAACAGGGTCTTCCTTTGCTGTACGAAAGCGACAGCTACTGCGACGATCTGCCGTACTGGGTGGACGTCCCGGCCGAGAAGAATGTCGCCGATCCGCAGGGCATGCTCATGGTTCCGTATTCGTAAGTCCTGATGCAGCGCGCCTTCGCATCGTCACCGCAACTGACGTCGCATCCAGCTACGACTGCAACGACGGCAAATACCACACCGCGTCCGGCTGGAGCACGCCCTCCGACTTTGAGGCGTATCTCAAGGCCGCCTTTGACGTCCTCTACGCAGAAGGCGAGCGCGGCGCCCCAAAAATGATGTCCATCGGCCTGCACTGCCGCATCAGCGGCAAAGCCGGCCGGTTTGCAGCGGTCCGCAACTTTGTCGAGTACGTCTCTGCAAAACCGGACGTCTGGGTCGCGACGCGCAGGGGCATTGCCCAGCACTGGCGAGACACGTTTCCGTACAAAAGAGGGACATTGTAAGGATGAGGCATGCATTGAATGTTTATCCCCATGGGCACGGGCATCAAGTATATAGTGGTTGTAGTGACGAAAAAAATCAAGATTGTATGTTAACTGCCAACAGCGAGCCAAATCAACACCATGGCAGTCTTGAATATACCTTTTTCCTCTTATGACCGTACTGTGTAGCACAAAGTTGGGCTATCAACCACCATGACCTCGTCCTGCTTCCTTCATCGCGACACAACACCGTACCAGATCAGACCCATCACAGCACCCGCGAGAATCGTCACCGGCGGACTCAGTCCGTACCAGCGTCCAAACACAAAGCTCGTTGCCGCCACCACCAGCCACCAGGGGTCGTCCCCAAGACTCTCGCCCTGCTGGGCTGACTGATTCAAGTAGCCTGCCTGCCAAATGCGGTACACGGCCGTGTAGATGAGACCGACCGCCCCGGCATTGACGCCGCGCAGTATGGCCTTGACAATGCGCCGGTTGCGAATCGCGCTCCAGACACCCATGGTCCCGTGCACGAGTATCATGCCGGGGGCAAAAATGCCCAGCCACGCAACGAAGGCGCCCAGGACCGAGCTGTACCCGGCATTGATCGCCGTCAAGCTGCCGAGAAACACGGCAAAATTGAAATTGGGCCCCGGCATCGCCTGTATAATGGCGAGGCCGACCAGAAAGTCCCGCTGGCTGACCCAGCCCTCGGCGACCACGTACTCGCGCAGCAGCGGGATCACGACGGGGCCGCCGCCAAAGATGATGGTGCCCGCAAGGCACATGTTGGCAAAGAGGCGGTAGAGGAGCGGCGGGGCGGTGAGGGTGCCGCGCAGGACGACCACCACCAAGAACACGGTGAAAAACACGGCAATGAGGGCGGTGCCCGTCCGCCAAGAGACGTTGATGCGAAGCGGTTCCGGGATCACGCGCGGCTCGTCGTCTCTCGTCGAGGCCAGCAGGGCCGGCTGCGATCCGCTCCGCTGTGTCGCCTGCGGCGATGGGCTGGCGGTGATGGAGTCGTCGCCGCCTCCAGCAGACGGAGTGTTTGCCGGCGGCTCGTTCGGACTCTGATTCTGACTCTGCCTCTGATTCTGAGCCTCACCCAGTTCCGTCGCTCCCGTCTCGGGCTCGGGCCGTGCTTCGTCGTCGCGCCGCCGCCAAAACGTCGCCATGCGCACGATGGCCTTGACGGGCTTGTGCAGCCAGCGAAGGTCGTATGTCAACGTTGCCAATCCGGAGGCAATCATGAGAACGGGAAAGTACCACAGGGCATTGTACAGCGTCCCCGCCGAAGCCGTGAAGAACACGAGCAGCCGGGTGAGCTCGTCGGTGATGGCCTTGGCCGCCAGTTCGACGGTGGCGAGGGCAATCACGCCGACGACCGCCGCGTTGATGCCCGACAAAAGGGCATAGACGATCCCGGGAAGACTCTGGTTGATGTTGGCGACGCCGAGGGACAAACCGAACATGGCCAAGGCGCCCGGCAAGCTGCATATCTCGTGAGCAACACACTCCAACACAAACAGAGAGGACAAGACTCGGTAACATAGCCCTGGGTGAGATGCATACCTCCACATGATAAAGCCAAGAATCGCTATGAGGGTGCCTTGGTGGACAAGATTAATACAGTAGAGCATCTTCGTGCTGGCCGGTCCGGAAAGGGCCTGCGCGACGCTGAACAGCTCTTGATACTGGGGACAGGCTATATCAGCTACTGTATATGGCCTCAAAAAAGGAGGGAACAATGCGCGCTGTCACTTACAAATTGCTCGTCGATCCATTGCTCCTTACGCACAAACTTGTCGCGAAACTGCGACCCAGAAGAACAGTGTCAGTACATCTGCAGAACCGAACGAGATGTGTCGTAGTTCGTCGCCGGTCTTTCCGTCTTACAATCTTGAAATGCGCGGGCGGGCCGCCAAACGATGTGAATCCCAAGTGCCAATTCACGCGAAGGAAGTCGCGCAGCGCTTCTGGAGACAAGCCCCGGGGCATGCGGCTCTGCCACGTCCGTATAGCCATCCTGGTAGTCTGTTGGCGGTTGGAACGATCTTGACCGAATGTCCTCGAGTGTTGTTTCCTGGGAATGGCGGCACGAATGTCGACTGGACCAGCAATTTGTCGTCATGGCTTAGTCTCTTGGCCTTGTTGGTTATCTCCGCCTGGTTTTTCAGGCCAACATGCGCCTCGTGGATTCACTAACTTGTTCGGTGCATCCTTTGCTTTCAGAGCAGAGAAAATGCTTCATCGGATACACGACTATTATCCAAAGACTTGATAGACAGCGGGCGACCAAAACGACATTGCGTGAATAAAGTACGATGAGAATGAGCTTCCAATGGATGCATCCAGTGAGATTTAGATACATCAACATGTGTTATGGAACGGCTAGGCCAGGTGTCGACATGGCAGCATTAGTGGCAGCTAATTTATTTCCAGCAAGCGCGCAGACTCTCAGATTCAATATAAACAAAATGTAGGCGTAGAGATAGCTCTTTCTTGATTGCTATTGGGTCTTTCCTTGCTACAAACTTGTCATTTAGTATGTCAATGTGATGATAGGATGATTCCTTCTATCGAGTATATGGTCTTTCGTCGTGAACATTCGATTCTTTCGGGACTCCTTCCGGTCAGTTTTCAAGTTTCCGTCTCTCCTTCCCGTAAGCTCCTCAAGAATCTTTGCCACTTCTTTTGCGTACCAAAAGTTGTTCAAAGCTCTGAGAGGGCTTGCAGATGTGCCGCTTCTTTCTCCTCTCCATTGTGATACACTTCTTTTGGGCGGCGAAAGTACCTATTGACTGCGCATGAGCTTTTCTTTCTTGTTCCCCTTTCTTACCGATGAACCGTCGGTCGAGTGGTATCTATTTTGCGCACGTAAAGCAGTTCCCGCCCTTGTGCTTGTCTTTGGAGCAAGCAAACTTTGTCGTGTCTTGTAGCTTTGTCCGCTCAAGCGTTTCTTCCTACATCGGAAGCACGCGATACTTTTGGATAGAGACTGCCGTATCTGTTCGTCTGCTCCTTCTGCCGTTCTTCGTAGCCTGCTTGTTTCCCGGGGCACACCAAAACAATCTGCCTCGTTCTTTCCTTTTTTTCGATAGAGATGGATCATGTGGCCTTGCTTGTGGTAAGCATGCCGTTTTCTCGTCATCGCTCTTTCTAAATTCACAGCATGAGCGCCTTGTTCCTTCCTATTTTTAAAAAAGGTCTACGATATCTAAGGTGACGCGATTGGGTGGTTCCTTCCTCTGGATGCATTCGATCGTCCCCGTTGAACGGCCATCAAGGTCTCATGAAATCATAACATTGCAAAAAAAGAAAGCGCAACGCAAAAGGAGCCAGTTGTGTCCAATTACGGCCAAAACAGTCCTGATCAGCCGTCTATTCAATGAATATACAAATACCGTCCAGAATGCTTTCATCCCCGTCGCTTCTCGTCCTCCTTTCTCTCCTCTCCTTTTGATCAAACCTACCTTCGCACTGATGCCATGTCTTATATTTTCCACCCTCACCTTGCCCTTCATCATTCTCTCGTCTCTTCACTGGCTTCATCCTTCTCCTTCTTCGCTATGCACATTGCCTCCACGATGTCTTGGCACTCACCTTAGTCCACCCCGACCACAATAGTATTCGACCTCAGCCTCAAGGTACAGTCCTCTCCCGTGCTCCTCCAAGCCATGTCTTGACACTTGCCAACACACGCTAACCCATTCTCTCTGTCAGGTCGATGGTTCCCCCGATATCTCAAGATCCCCCGGTGCCCATCCGATCCCCCAGTGCCCATCCGAAAGATGAAGCAACAACAACAGCATTTGGCCTTGACCAACACTGCGTGTCTTTGGTTTGGTAACAAAAAATTGGAGACTGAAATGTGCCTTTCAGCTTTTGAGACATTGCCTCGCATCGACTGCAAACATCCCCAGCGTCCAAAAAAATCCTGTTCAAGACAAGACCACTGGTTCTGGTGATGATTGAGAGATGTAGAACAGAAAAAAGGTGAGACTGTCCTTATTTTCAATGATGATAATAAAATCCCGGACCATTTTTATGGAGTGACGGAAGGTTCAAGAACCAGTTACGACTTTCTGAGAAATTTGTTCTCTGTGGGCTCTTATTCTCTGTGGGCTCTTGTTCTCTATGGGAAATGGCTTCGCTGTGGGCTTTTTTTTTCCTTTTGGTTTTTTTTTATTTTACTTTTCGCATCTCACTGTCGGAAAGTAGTGATCACACACATCGAGCATCTAATGCATCCTCTTGAGATGAGCACCGGTTCCGAGACGTTTGAGCGATGATGGGGTTTTCAAGAGGTGAGTCTTACCAATACCTTTTTGACGATGATGGCATTGATTGAAACCTCTGCCATTGTTCATTCTTTCTCGCTTCTTATGACTATTCGCATCGCACTGACGGAAGATGACATCAGAACTTGCGATCGATACCATGCACCAACTGCAGCGATCCAGCGTCCAGTGCATCTCATCAGAGGGACTCATCAGAGGAAGACACGGTTCTGGTGTTGCAGAATTGCCATGGGGGTGCCCACAAGGTGAGACCTTCCCTTAAGACCCCGAGATGAGACTTTTTGAATGAGGACCCGAACCGTCCGATGACATCTTAAAGTTTGAGCTGAGGGGCATTGGAGGGAGGACAACCCGGTCTTTTCTTTCCGCTTCTTTTCGCCTCTCACTGACGAAAAGTAATGCATCACATCTAGTCATCGAGCGTCCAATGTGTCCATCCAAGAGGGATACATGGTTCTTGATTCCGAGAGATGATCATCGGCCCCGAGGCGTGACTGTTGGAATGAGGCTACCCGTTACGACGATGTTCCGAAAGTTGAAAACCCCCAAGTGCTTTTCGTTTTCTGCGGGCGAGAGGCTGGCTATTTATACGCCGGAGACGACAAGGTTCTAGGGATTTTGTGTGTGCGGACTGAGCTAAGAACCTTTGGCTAAGTGCTTGTTGGCTGTCTTGGGTAGCGCGGGGATGACGTGGATTTTGTACCAATAACAGTCGTGGATGACTGCGCAGGATGCAATGGGCTGGGATGAGAATAGAATGACGGAATGATGCATGGATGGTGGCAAGTCAAAGCGCATTTTGAACTCTACATTTTGAACTCTGTCTCTCTGCTTTCCGCAACATTTGCCTCTATTCTGTCCTTTGAGTTCACCGCTCTTTCCTTTTGGCACACTAAGTAATTTGCACCCAGTGTCTCATCCATGTGATGCTTGTGACGGTAGTAAGCATTGTATTTCAGCATCGGCATCGTGGGCTCATGATTTATAACTTGACAAGATGTAATACCGACGTACGACGTCGCTGGACAAGAGTTAGTGGCTGCAGAAAAAGGGTGTAAGTGCGGAGATACAGACCCCACACCTTGTCTCCTTGCCGGCTGTCTGCCTCATGAGTGGGTCATTCTGGTACGGCGCGGTACATGTACTGAGTACATGTACATATATGTACATACGCACAATTGATCGCTTGCACCTCGATATTCCATTTCCGTGTTTTTGAACCTCGCTATGGCCACGATGCGTGACAACACGCCCCAAGAAGACGAAGCACGCCGGCCTACACCGCCCGGTCTTGACACTGTGGACTGGGCCACGCTGGACCATGCCTACGGCGCGGCCGAGGACACACCCCAGTGGCTGCAGGTGCTCTTCCAGGCAGCCTGTTGTGGTAGTACTGAACACAACAAGGACGAGGACGAAGACGAAGACAAAGACAAAGACAAAACAACGTCAGCAAAGCTCTGCACGAACTTATTGCATCCATTGCCCACCAGGGCAGCCGCTACTCGGCCTCGCGCGCAGCCGTTCTGCCGCGGGACAAGGACGAGCTGCAAAACTACATCGAGGGACGCGCGCTGAGACATGGCGGCGACAGTGTGCAAGAGGCGCCCGACCTGCGGAAAGGTCTCCGTGAGAGACAGTCAAAACAGTCTGAGTCGTGAGGCTGCCTATGCTGTACTCTGAATGTTCTTTTGGCTGCTTCCCGCTACATACACTGTATTGACTTTCTCCAGTGCAGTGCCCTTTCAGGGGCCAATCACCTCACTCTGAGATTCAATATAAACAGACTTTGCACCGACTAGTCCATGCTCAACATTCTTCCTTCACTGTCTCTACAAGACATACCGAAAGTCCTCGTTCTGCTTGTCCGTCAGGTCCTCGTCAATCGTGTGCCGCCGCACACCGCCCGCCATGGCCAGCCGGTCCCGCCTGTGGTTCTCGAGACGCAGTAGAATGTAGGTGACGATGGCGATGACCACGACGCAGACGAGGCAAATAAAGCTGCCCAGGAAGCCTGCATGGTACAGCGGGCCCGGCGACGCGCCGAAGATGAGGGGCCCGATAATGTTGCCGATGCAGTAGCCCAGGAAGGTGGATGCACTGACGGTCGCTTTTTTGGTGTGCCCGGACGTGTTGGAGGCCGCCAGCGACACGGCCTGGCCGCCGGCCGCGACTTGCACGGCCAGCAAAAAGACGCCGGCAAACAGAAAGCCGCGGTTGCTGCGCGGCCCGAACCAGCAAAACAGCGTGCCCGTGATCGAGACGAGGGCCAAAACGACAATGATGGCGTGGCGCAGGCCCAGCCAGCGGCGCGTGACGTAGCCAGCCAGCAGAATGGAGAGGGCCGTGATGGCGCCAATGGGGCTGGTGAGGGCGAGCGACGCGAAATGGTCAAAGCCAAAGCCGTTGATGACAATGGTGCCGAACGTGCCGATGGCGCCCGACGGCACGCCCGTCAGCAGGATGATGAGGGCGCTGCTGTACGTCTTGTAGTCCAAAAAGGCCTCGCGGAACTGAGCGGCATTGAACTGCCGGCTGACGGTGCCGGCGTTGTTGCGGGCGAGCCGGCGCACGGCCAGGGCCTTTTCGTCGTCGCGGAGCCGCGCGCAGTTGAGCGGCGTGTCGGGCAAGAAGACGGCGAGGACAAACGACCACGCGACCGTCACGGCGCCAACGATCAAGAACATGTACTTCCAGGGCTCGTGGAGGGCGCCGTGCACGCCGTGCCCGATGCCGTAGTTGATGAGCGGCGACAGCATCGTGGCCATGCCGACACACGAGTACCACAGACTGGTGCGCAGGGCCTGCTCCTCGCGCGTCCACCAGAAGGTAACAAGCACCGTAAAGGCCGGCGCGACGGCCGCCTCCATGACGCCGAGGAACAGACGCGCCACCATGATGCCCGCATAGTTGGAGCACGCGCTCGTGGCCATGACAATGGCGCCCCAGGCGAGTACGGACAACGAGATGACGCGCGTGACGCCGAACCGCTGCGTCAGGTACATTTGCGGGTAGGTGCCGATCAGGTAGCCGACATAGAACATCATGCTGGCGTTGGCGTACTTTTGGTTGTTGGTGATGGGGGTGCCGGTTTCGGTGTAGCCGACAATCGTCGTGAGACCGAGATCCGCATTAAAATCAAACTGTGTGGCCGCGCTCATGATGCCCTTGTCGTAACTCTGCAGAAAGTATGTGAACATCATGAGAGGCATGATCCTGGCAAGTTAGCACGGGACAGTGAGAGCGACAGCGACAGCGATACGGGATACGGAATATGGGATGCATCAGCGGGGGCCTACCAAAAGTCAATCTTGCGGACGAAACGACGCTCCTCCTCGGGCGAGAAGACGTCGGCGTCGAGGGCCTCCTCTTTGGCGTTGGCAGCCTCGACCATCACGACAGGATCGGGCTTGGTGTCCGGCGTGTGCATCGTGTTGATGGTGGAAGGTGTGCAGTGGGATCCAGAGGAAGGTAGACAAAGACAAAGACGCAACGTGAAGGCTCTGCTGGACTCAGTGGTTGACGTGCCGTGTCGTGTTATGAGATCACGAGGTGGCCGTGTACTTATAGCTGCCGTGGTGCGGCAGGTGCAGCTCCGGGAAGGTGCAACCCACTCGGCAAGTAAAGAAGGTAAGAAGAAAAGAAACAGGAAGGAGCCAGCCAAGCACGATAAACAGGCACAAGTCCCGTCAGCGAGTCTGCGGGATACCTCGTGTGACGCTGCGGGGTGTGCAACCCCGGCCAAAGCCAGACGGGAACATGACGTGAAGTTGGGCGAAATGGGATCGACAGCGTAAAAATGAACATAAAGAAAGGCAACAGGATAAAAAAGCAGGAAATCGTGGAGAACGCGGGGAGACGCTAAGGAACCTGGGGATAATTGCCGAATTTGCCGTAAATGGCCCCGGGCGCTCCTTCCTCAAATATGCCGAATGGCCCGCCATCTCCCTGCACAGTTTTGTTACCTTTCCACAATTTTACCACTTTTACCGACAACGACCACAAGATCTAACTGCATGAGAGCAGCTCCATGACAATGGATTGCGGCCCACCTACGCCCCGGGTGCGCGCAAGATCGCGTGTGGCCTGCGTGACGTGCAACCGCCGCAAGGTGCGCTGCAATGTGGCGGAGACTGGGCCGCCGTGCACCAACTGTCGGGACGGCAGTGTCGAGTGCGTCACAGTGCCTCGAAAGAAGCACAAACCAAGACGGTCGCGAGTGGCTCCGCTGGCGCCAGCCGTCAAGCCCGGTGTGCCTGTGCCTCGCTCGCCGCCGGAGAGAGCACCTACCCTGGGGCCGTCTGGCGTGGCATCTCCCTCCCGTCTGACCCCCGAAGCGGACGGCCGGCTGCCAGATGACGATGCAACATCGTACATTGGCGACAACAGAGGGCCTCGCCAGTCGGTCTATGAGCTGTGTCATCCACAAACGCCACAAGATGCAAGGGTGCCGGATGCTGTGGAGGGGCGAGACAACGGGGAGAGCAATCGTGCCAACAGTCTGTGGGCGGCCCACGAGCTTGCCTATCTCCGCCACGAGGGCGCATTCCAGACACTGCCATCGGATCTCAGCGATGGTCTGGTGCAGGTCTACTTTGAGCACGTCCACTTCTTCATGCCCATCCTGGACGCCGCCGATGTGCTCAGGGCGTACAGACGCCATGGCGCTGCTGGGCTACATCCCCTGCTCTGTTGGAGCATGTGTCTGGCGGCGGCCAACTTCGTGTCCGACGACGTGCTCGCCAAAACCGGCTATGCGTCCCGCAAGGCCATGAAGCAGGCCATGTACGCGCGGGCCAAGTGCCTGTACGACCTGGACCGGTCGACGGACAAGGTGACGCTGATCCAGGCGGTGCTGCTCATGGGCTTTTGGTACACGGACGCCTACGACCACACGGGCGCGTGGCACTGGGTGGGGATTGCCATCAGTCTGGCGCAGTCGTTGGGGTTTCATCGAAAGCCGACGCGACGTGGACGCGAGGACGGTGGCGACATAAACCATGCCCGCCGGGCCAGCCTCGTCCGCCGTATCTGGTGGACCTGTCTGGTGCGGGATCGCTGGGTGGCTCTTGCCAAGGGACGGCCTATGCGCATACACGACGAAGACTGCGACGTGCCACTCCCCGTGCTCGACGACTTTTCCGGCGACCTGGACGCGGCTGCCAGCCCGGCGTTCCAGCATCTTGTGCCGGCTGGGGGTGCCGAGACCGCGGCATCCCTCGCCCGCATGTGGCTGCGTCTCGTCACGATCAGCGCCCTGCTCGGCCGCATTGTGCGCGCCCACTACCGCGTGCAAGGTCTGCCGCCATCGCTGGAGGACATTGATGCCTTTGAAAAGGAGCTTCGGGCCTGCGGGCCGTCGGATGCTGCAGCTGCAGACGACCCCGAGATGGCCGACCATCTCCGTCTCCATGCCAAGCACGTCGACCTCTTTTACAATGCCATCGCGGCCATCTTGTACCGGCCGTACCTCTTGCAGGCCCCAACGTCCTTGCCCCGTGGTGCCAGTCCGGCCTGGCAGCGAGACGTCGCCCGTCGTGCGCGTGCCGCCGCCGCCCGCACCAACGACACCCTCAACACCCTCATCGAGCTCGACGCCATCCACCAGCTCAAGCCCATGACCATCACAGCGCTCGTGCCTGCCATGCAGATCCACCTGTTTGATTTCTGCAAGGCAGCCACGCCGCTGCTGCGCAGCCTCGGCAAGAACAAGCTGGGGCTGTGTCTGCTGGTGCTGTCTCACATCCGGCGAACCTATTGGAGCGCGAGCGTGATCCACCGTCTGTTTTCACGGGCCCAGCAAATCTTGCAGCAGGGAGCGCCTGCGACGTCGGCGGCAGCTGAGGACGTGGCGGACAGGCACCCTCCGGCAACAGAGACGGCACCAAAAGCGCTGCCCGAGCCACGGCAGCAAAACCAAACCGTGCGAGAGAGACCACCTACAACAACGACCGCGCAACCCATCGACCTCGAGACACAACAGTATCCGCCTCCACACCAAGACGACACCATGCACAGTCACAACAGCTACGACGCTGGAATGCCCACGCCAACACCCACCGTCACGCCAACGTCGTCTGCCCAGCCCTTTGCCCAGCACTTCGTGCCCAGCCTGCACCAGAGCTTGCCACCGGGTCTACCGCACACACACCACATCCGGTCCAGTCTCCCACATCCACAACAGCAGCCTGCCCTGTCCCTACAACAGCCGGACGCCGGCTGGTGGGACGAGCCTGCCACGTTTTGGAACGTCGACCTGCTGCTGAGTCCCGGCTTTGCTCTCTCCGACGACGTGTACCAGACTCTGTTTGAAACCTACAGCGATGGCAGTCACAATGCGAACGCAACCAACACGGGTTCGAATGAGATGAGCATGGTGTATATGCAATGATGGGGACGACGGAAAAGGACGTATGCATGAAATGTGAAATTGTAGTCCATTCATTGGGCCGAGTTTGTAGTTTGTCAATCACAGCAGATTATCCCAACAATGGCAAATGCATTCATGTTCGAGAAGCTTTACACCATGGCCCTCTTTTAGTTGTATAGCTTGACCTTCTCAAATGCATCATAATTTGAACTCACATTCCCTTCTTGTCTACCGTGGAATAACCACTTAACGTAGGGCTGACGTCGCACTCCAGGGCGTGCATCCGCTAGC